GTCCGTTTACAACATACACGCCTATGTGAGCTAATAATGATACTACACACACCAGGTGTACGCCTAACCCTTTCAATGACTTATCACAACATGACTTATGAGATCAATCACCACAATTCACCGTCTCATTCATGTCTACACACCGTGGCTTCTGAAGCTCAAGTGCGCATGTCATTACAATATCTATTGATTGAACATTCACATCGCTAGGTCGGGATTTATCAAGTAGGAAAACCAACTGCGAACCAAATGAACAGTAAAAAAATGTGTGTTCAATATTGAGCTTAAAAGGTAGGCATACTTTATGGAGAAAGCATTGATTAATGTTTTTAAATCATATAATTAATTAACATTTTACGTCTAATTTGTTTTCGAGTCGTAAAATTTTGAAATGTGCCGGTTCGGTAAAAGTGTTCAATATTTTGCTTGTAACTATTTGACAGAACCCAGAGAATGATATATTGTACTTATATATGAAATATAGAGAACTACAGATGTAAGATAGTACATATATATGGAATTTCGTCACCATAACTGAAACGGTACTCAAGTTATCGTGTTTACAAACACACATACTTATGGACAAAATTGCAAAATTATGTTTTTTTTTTTCCGAATCAGTGATGTTTAAAACGTGTAGATTTGTGAAAATCTCGATTTAAATCTCGAAAGCACAACATTTCCTTTATACTTCATGTATGGCGACAATTACAAAAAAGCTTTTTACTACGTCTGATTTGTTAATTTTAAGATTCTATCCCAATAACAAAGACACCAACAAAAGTATCACAAGGTATCATGAATACAACAATATGTTTTTATTCATCCTTGAATACTTCCTTGACAAACACTTCAACAACACAGCTGTCTTCCGCTCAAGACTTTCCCATTGATGTATTGAGTATGCGTGTCTCATGATCTTATCAAGGTGCGCGGACCTTTGACCCATCTGTGGTCAAATCCCCGCTGTGAATAAACCCCCTATGGTCAAACCCCCCATGGTCAAAGCTCCGCTGTGGTCAAACACCATACGGTCAAACCCCCTATGGTCAAAGCACCTGTGGTCAAAGCACCTAAGACCCTTATCAATATCCTGCGTATAGTTCACAGCAGAACCAGTGGCGTAGCCAGGATCGTCTCATTTTAAGTCGCACTTAAAAAAGCTTGATGAACATTTTGCGGTACATTTCCACTTGTAATAATGTGGCGCCACCACAGTTTCAGTTCTCCAATGCTTTCATCGATGACACTGCTGTTAACAAACGTTCATATTTTTGCATAAGTGTTATGGCATTCTTTTCCTGTACTTTGGTAAAACCCGAGTCATTGGGCAAAAGACACATAAAACCTCCCACAACAGATTTATGTTTTAGCAATCTGTCTCCTATTTGACATATAACCGAATCAAGGAAAGGAATAAATACAGCTATTCTGTAATACTCTTCAGGCGTATTTGCCATCACATTGCAGCTTTGAATTTGTTTTCCAGCTCGACGTGGAATAAGTATATCTATGCCGAAGTCCTCACAAATGTCTTTGACTTCATTAAATACGGTAGTAAATTCTGATTCAGCATCCTTCCGCATATTCACTAGTAGGCTACTTGAATCTTCTGTAAATTTTAGAGCCGCAGATAGATCGAAGTTTTCTGTTTGGAGTATTCTGCTGACAGGAAGTGTTATTGCAAAGATTTTTGAGATAACTCTAAGAGAAACTTGAAACTCAAGACTCCTAATTGCTTCTAAAAGTTGAACCGCTGTTGAAGAAGTTGTTGTATCGTGCCAGGATGACATAATTTCCAGTGCATCAACAGTTGCTTTTTGATGCTGTATAAAAACGTTGACAGACTCATGACGTTCAATCCATCTGCTTGCGCACAATCGTTTATGTCGAGATGGTGATGCTTTAGGTGTTAATTTCTCTATTAAATTTGCAAGCACAGATTGTCGTTTTGGTGTGTTAAAAAAGTTGTATATGCTATTAAGGATTCCCATACAGTTTCTCACAGCTGGTAGTTCGTAGGCATCAGAAAGTGCTAGATTTAGGCTGTGATATGCGCAATGCAAGTAAAGCAAATTTCTCAGCAAACATATTGCTGCGCCCCATGCAGTCGACCACGCATTGCAGCGGCTCCATCATATCCTTGACCAATCATAAAATTACCGTCTATGTTTAAATTTGCTAGAGTGTCCATTAAAACATTTGAAAGTCCTTTGCCTGTTAGATCAGTTACACCTAGAAACTGTAGAACATCCTCCCTTATTTTCTTTATGTCGTTATCATAGTAGCGAACACATAACGAAAATTGCTCCATACCAGCTATATCACTAGTTTCATCGGCTAAGACAGAAAACAATTTGACAGAAGTAATTTACGCAACAATCTTTTGAACAATTAATTTATTGCACACATTTATCACTTCATTTTGAATGGTGGGACTTAAGTATCTTGCATGTTTTGAAGAATTTTCTAGATGATGTTTAAGTGTTTTGTCTTCACCCATGGCTTTGTATCTAAAAAGAGCTCACAAATTTCCATCATTTTTATCAGGATCCTCCAACTGAAAATTTAAGAAATCCCTTGCCCCCCTAAGACCTTGTCGGACGCAAAAAATATAGTTTCTATTATGGGCGCTAACCTTAAACGATTTACTAGAATTTGTTGACTTAATGATGAGTTCAAGGCAATGTTTGTAGTTTCTATTTATTTCTCCATAACCGATTTACGATTTTGGGAAAGTAAAATTGCTCTTTTATGCTGGTGCTCATTAAACTTGTCAGTTGCCTTTGTCCAGTTCGAAAATTGAATTTTTGATAACTTACCTAAAGGCTGACTACCTACACCACCATAATTCAAACTAAACAAAACACAATATTTGCAAAATGCGCCATCAAGTAATTTGGAATAAGTCAACCAGTTCCACCTAAGTAACCACGAATATTGACTTTACATTTCTTTGTCCGCTTGCTGGAAATTTAAAAAGTTCATCAGGACGCCAGATGTTTTCTAATAAATACAACCGTGTATCGTCTGTTATAACTCATTTGATAAAATTGCCGATATGATTTGCATAAGAAACAGTCAAAGGTGCTGAATTTATGGAAATTTCTTGATGTAATGTAGTTTGAGAAGCAATAGTACCATCTTTATTTTTATCATTTTCAGTTTTACTTTTCTTTGTAAAGAAATCAGTTAATAAAGTAGTTTTTAATTTCCTTGCTTGAAGTAGCAAAAAGATACACATTAAAACACGACCATGCGAATAAGAAAATAAATAATTATTGGTCTTTCTTTTCTGACTATCTAAAATGACTACTATAGGTTTCTGGCTCTACATCTATATTTAACCACCTACGCAGTTTTTATATCTACAAACACTAAGTTTTGTGTCAACAATTGTGAGTCAAGCCCCCGCTTTCCTGCCAGATGTGCATCCGGTAGTATTTTATAATTGAGACGTACCCATATTTAAACCCACCCTCACCCCCTGTCACACCCTTTAACTGACAACCTTGTGTTCTCTGCCATCTTTATCATTTTCAGTTTACTTATCTTTTTAAAAATTAAATAGTTTTCAGTTTCCCTGTTTCATCCGCAAACAGAAAAAAGCGCAAACGGAAAAAAGCGCAAACAGAAAAAAGCGCAAACGGAAAAAAGTGCAAACAGAAAAAAGCGCACACAAAAAAGCGCAAACGGAAAAAAGCGCAAACAGAAAAAACACAACGAAAAATGTGCAAAAGAGAAATTTAGCACAAAGACCTATATGGACTTCATGACAAATTTATACATGACTGTGAGAGTGTCGTGTTTAATCACGTGATCTACTACCATTGAAAGCATACAACTACCACGTGCATTCCCATCACACAATGCCTATTATTTTCTTGTTCAATATTTATTCAACTACTATTCTCATATACATAAACATAAAACTATCCTTGATATCGACATTACACGAAGTATCTCTCACATTCTTCATAGTGCAAGCTACCTAGCTTCGCATCAAGCCAGTGTAGTGGCAGTCCACGCTGGGATTATCGCTGTAATCTGTGGTGATGTACCTTATTTTTACTTTCTGGCATACGAAATATAGAGGAAGTATTGTGATCGTGCAAAAAAAAATCGAAATCGATACTTTCACAAATCTCGTCGTATTACACCTTTCTGAGTTGGAAAACCATAGTTTTACAATTTTGTCCGTATGTATGTATAGCAACTGCGGGAAATTTTCAGCCATTTTTTTTAATCTTTAGACTTAACTCTTTTAGTCATTACTATAATATGCTAATTATCATAGCAATAGGTTTAGAAATTAGCCTTTTTTAAATTTTGGTAACAAATAATTAAAAAATAATTAAAAACAAGCAAATAATCAAATTACGTAACTAGTTGAATAAAAACTTGAATGCAAACTAATTAAAAATTAAACTAAATAAAAATAATTAAAAACAAACTAATTAAAAACAACAAACAAATTAATAAAAACAAATAATAAAATTACGTAACTAGGTCACCGATGGTGATTACGTGACAAGGTCAACCCCTCACCTGACCCACTGACCTACTGACCTACTCCCCATCCCCATCCCCCTGCGCCTGCGCCTGCGCCTCCACCCCATCCCCATCCCCATCCCCATCCCCCTGCGCCTGCGCCTCCTCCCCATCCCCATCCCTATCCCCCTCCGGAGTATTTTACTATGTCATTGTACCTTCGGTCTGCTCCTGCGCCTAGAGTATTTTACTATATCTCGTTGTACCTGCGGCGCCTGCGGTCCAAAAGGGACCTAATATACTACTTACATTTTGTACTATATAATTTGTGCATTTAACATTATATATTATTCTTTCAGAACACACGCCGTCATATGACTTATACGAATTTATATTATCAAGAGTCTTACTGACTTACAGACAATAAATAGGACACTACGTTTAGAATGTTGGGGTTTATTCAATTGTTTTGAATAGGAAGACAAGTCAACTAAGTTATTTTTACACATTCCGTCAGTCCGCAGTACTTTGTTGCTTTTGGTGTAGACTTTTCTCCAACTGCTTTTTCTGTGGTAAAACACAATTTTCATTTAAGATCAGTACATAATTCTCGAAACCTTTAAAACATACGCTTAAAATTTTTAAAGGGGTTACATTCGAAATAATATTTTTCATTTAATCAAAACAGTTCGTAATGCGTTCATGTTTTAAAACTAAAAACAACTTTTGTTAATATTATGATAGATACTATTTGCGCAAATAACACTCACATTTATCACAATCCAGAGTGACAAATGTATTAACCGGAAAGTTGTTTATGTCAACTGTGGTTCCACCTGGAGCAGTGAGCATACACATGCCGGGCATATAAAGATAGCCGATACACTCGGGATCGTTAAAGCAAGTGGTAAAGCAAGTCTGCAGAAAAAGAGCAAAATCGTATCTACAATCGATTAAGTGTTCAATTAATGGAGGCCGAAAGGTATTCGAGAGGCCCATTAAATATTTAAAAAATCATACACGGCGTAGTTAAAATTAATATGAATATAAAATCCTGTCTGTTTGGTTTTTTTTCAGACTTTACTACAGATTGGATGTATTTGATGTTTTTAATTTTTTTCGGTAACTAATTTTTTTTAAAAAAAAAAGGTAAAAAGTTTGGTTTTTAAGTGTAATGGCGACATACACAATGACATCCTGCTATTCGATAGGCTAGCAGACATTTTATTGTACACATTGTAAGCGAAAAAAAAGGGAAAACTAAGAAATATGGTTTAAATTTACATTGTTATTTAAAAACTTTTGCATTGTTAATTAAAAAACTTTATCTGCAAACTTTTGTAAACAAATAAATAAAGATCGCGGAATTCCTGTACAGCCAATCAATGTTTGTCTTACGAAAGTGAACGTCGGGTTATAACTTATGCTTGATAAAAATAAATAGAAATGTAGCCTTAAACTCAACAAATTATTTTCCATTTCTCTGGATTTACAAGTTTTATAACATTGATTCTAAAAATATTAAATATCTTATTTATTTTGAGGCTAAAGTATTTATTTTTCATTATTTTTTCCGGTCGATTTGATTGCAAAATCTAAAAAAGCACGTTTTTAATCCATGTCAACAATATGATGGAAGGATTCTCGTCAACTCGTTCGCATACATTGTGAAGCTAAGATTAACATTTTCAACTGAAGGTAAGATAACTCAAGACTACACGTACATGGTATATATATATATAAATATATATATATATATATATATATATATATATATATATATATATATATATATATATATATATATATATATATATATATATATATATATATATATATATATATATATTTATATATATATATATATATATATATATATATATATATATATATATATATATATATTTCTAAAGTCACATTTGTCTACAAGTTTGTATTGGTATAGTCTGTTCAGTTACATGTGAGCATCTGCACTATGTGTAGAGCTGTAATATACGTACTTATGTAGAGAATAATTTTCTTTTTTCCGAAACTGTTAAACACAAATTTCTTTTAAAAACTTGAATTAATCTATTTATATATTCTGTCGTAAAACAAATCTTTAATTATAAAAGTAAAAACAGAGGACTTCATTTTCAAAGAAAACTAAAATATGTCACCGGCTTAGTGAAGTCACTTGATGTTAAAGCCAAACCAAAATAGTTTAACACAAAAAGGGACTTATATATATATATATATATATATATATATATATATATATATATATATATATATATATATATATATATATATATATATATATATATATAATATAATATAATATATAATATAAACTACAAAATCAAACAAAAAGTAGGTTGAAGTCCGAGTCAAAACGTAGTTATGTTGGAGGAAATCCCGTCCAAAATACAATTAAAAACGAATAGGAAAAGGGAACGGCATCAGGTGTTTTTTTCTTTTTCGTTCTTAATTTTTAATGTTGGAAGAGATTCCCTCGATCACAATTAAGTATTGGTTTCAGCTTGTTTTGCGGCTCCGTTATGTCAACCATTGTCAACGAGCTTCCAGAGGTCAGGATCGGAGTGAAATAAGAAATAAATAGTTGTGCTGGACTAAACACAATCTACAAAAAAAATAACAAACAAAAGGCAAGCAACGGAAAATTGTACAAGTATAATTGGTAATCAATTGGAAAATAAGTTAAACATAAAACCTCAAAATATTCTTTAAAAAAATCATTTATTTTGGTATTCAAAATAATTAACTGACATTGATTGATTAGATATTATATTCTTTCATTTCTCTATACAGTGTTCTGCTATTACCATTTAAAATAAAGTTTTTAAATATCAAATTTTATATGAAAATATGATTTACATGAATATCAAAAAGATTCTTCTTTTACCTCGTGATCCGGCGCATTGACCATATAATTAACGTCAGGGATTTTCAAAGTGCATTGTGCTACATTGAGAAATAAATTACATTTTAAATGCACACACAATGATTTTATTTGATTCATTATGTAAAAGATCAAGCGAAGAAATGGTATCTTATATAATAGGCCATGTAAATATTTACTATGTATTCTAGTAACACACCAATAGGCTTTAAATTAACGCAGCCAGAGTCGAGTACTCTTATTTGCACTTTGCTTTTAATCACTTTTGATTAAACTCTGGGTCTGCGTGGTCGAGTCGGTAAAGCTCATGGTTGCTAATCCAAAATGTCTCGAGTTCGAACCCTCGGGCAGATGAGGCTCGTTAGTTCGGGACAGCCACTCTAGGAGAGACAACTCCAAAATCAAACAACTGCTGCCTTGTAGCTTGTTCTTGGTTGGACAAAGGCTATGGAAGCAAATCCAAAAAGAAAAGCAGGCTGTAATCGGAGTCAATGGCCTCAATACCAGTTGAAACGTATCCTTAATTGTGATGGAGGCGTGGTCGAGTCGGCAAAAGCTCATGGTTGATAAATTCGAAAAAAAAGTCTCGAGTTCAAGCCCTCTTTTTTAAAAAAAAACATTTGAGAATATGAATGGTTAATTAATTAATTAATGATTGGCAGGTATGTGGAGTGCTTAAGTTTAAACCATCATGCTAATTTTAGGGAAATTGATATAATTTTCGCAATTTATTACTTAAAAGGTAATTAGAACTACAGAGGGTCCTTTAATAGTATAACTCACAATTTATATGACATTGACTTTTAGTATCAATTTCTACATTTAGTTACGATACATAATTTAATTTACAGCTTAATTAATTTTTTTACTAGAACGAATGATATACTACGTCATTTCCTGTTTATTTTTAAATGGTATAAAATGTTCTGAAAAAGAATTACATTAGAATGTTACCTCCATTGACGTAATCTTTGTTTACTTTTTTTTTAAAAAAACATAGGTATGCATATATAAGAAAACTCGGCGTCTGGACAAATTAACGGCCCTAACGGATTTTTTCAATGGGCATAAAGATTGTTTTTTTTACCCTCTAAGATTGATCTACAACCTCGCAAAACATCAGGGGGGGGGGGTGGGTGAGGAGGTCGTTCGGCAATTATTTAATTTATATATAACTCATATACGGATAATTTCACTCGACCCTTGTTCCATACGGCCTAGCTATCTGCCGAAGTACACGCAAGAATATAGCCATATGTACAGAGGTTAAGTGACCTAAAAACTCTGTTAAAATTGCACTGTTTTTCATAAAAATTACAATGATTATATTGGGAAATACTACTTGTCAGTTTTGCTCAATTTACAGCTATTTCCCAGGTATGGCGAGTCTTTTCTAACATCTCCTGGAGTTTTTCTACAACCTCAGTAAATATCAAGGCGGGGGGGGGGGGGGGTCGTTCGGCAATTATTTTTTTCGATATAGCCAATAAAAGGAGAATTTCACTAGTGGTCACTTGATATCCCTCGCCGTGCGAACAGAGGCTGATCGATAATTTATCCTTAAAGCCGATTCATTTATCCAGTTTTTTTTTTTAAAATAGCCAGATGTACAGAGCCAAAGATACTAAACATTGTTTTAGAAATAGTCATAGTTTTTCACCAAATTAATAATGTTTATATAAGGAATTTGGACAGGTAACTTCTAAAGCCGTTCCGGAGATCTACAGAATTTATCATATTTTTTTTTTGCTACCCTTCGATAGTTGGTCTACGACCTCAGGAGTTATAAAGAGTTTCCTGCGTGGTAATTTCTTTTCGATGTATAGCTCATATAAGACTCCGGTCAGATGAGGTAAGTTTTGATCCCCTCATCGTGGACATTGCGGCTGACCGGCGGCTGACCGGCACCGGCCTCCGTGTTCTGTCGGCTAAAAGCAGGGGCCCGCCAAATTTGTAGCACCTGTGGCTCCGGGAAGTGCCAGATCGAGCACCAGAACACTTTGCTTAGTCTAAGACTCCACGAGGCCTTGCATTGTACACCAAGATTGACAATTTATACTCATTTAAGAGATGGTTGCTACGGGTACTTGTAAGATTACGTTAAGTTAGGTTCGTCAGGTCATGTCAGGTTGGCTCGGGTTAGGTATAGTTAGGTCATGCCAGTTTCGGTTTTTACATTACGCTTAGCTAAACCAATATACACAAGGAAAAACTTACTACTATCATTGTAGCATGAGAAAACGGAATATCCAAGTACATTTTGACTGACATTTACAACATCGCCAACATAGAGCTTCGTTGTACACACACCATCTCCAAACTGGAAAGCGAAGCAATGTTCTGCCCTACAAGCTGAGTAGCATTCATGTAGCAACACATTTGTACGAAAAACATGTTTTATGTAGACACAGATACAGACGCAGATGCAGATGCAGATGCAGACGCAGACGTAGACGTAGATGTAGATGTAGATGTAGATGTAGATGAAGATGTAGATGTAGATGTAGATGTAGATGTAGATGTAGATGTAGATGTAGATGTAGATGTAGATGTAGATGTAGATGTAGATGTAGATGTAGATGTAGATGTAGATGTAGATGTAGATGTAGATGTAGATGTAGATGTAGATGTAGATGTAGATGTAGATGTAGATGTAGATGTAGATGTAGATGTAGATGTAGATGTAGATGTAGATGTAGATGTAGATGTAGATGTAGATGTAGATGTAGATGTAGATGTAGATGTAGATGTAGATGTAGATGTAGATGTAGATGTAGATGTAGATGTAGATGTAGATGTAGATGTAGATGTAGATGTAGATGTAGATGTAGATGTAGATGTAGATGTAGATGTAGATGTAGATGTAGATGTAGATGTAGATGTAGATGTAGATGTAGATGTAGATGTAGATGTAGATGTAGATGTAGATGTAGATGTAGATGTAGATGTAGATGTAGATGTAGATGTAGATGTAGATGTAGATGTAGATGTAGATGTAGATGTAGATGTAGATGTAGATGTAGATGTAGATGTAGATGTAGATGTAGATGTAGATGTAGATGTAGATGTAGATGTAGATGTAGATGTAGATGTAGATGTAGATGTAGATGTAGATGTAGATGTAGATGTAGATGTAGATGTAGATGTAGATGTAGATGTAGATGTAGATGTAGATGTAGATGTAGATGTAGATGTAGATGTAGATGTAGATGTAGATGTAGATGTAGATGTAGATGTAGATGTAGATGTAGATGTAGATGTAGATGTAGATGTAGATGTAGATGTAGATGTAGATGTAGATGTAGATGTAGATGTAGATGTAGATGTAGATGTAGATGTAGATGTAGATGTAGATGTAGATGTAGATGTAGATGTAGATGTAGATGTAGATGTAGATGTAGATGTAGATGTAGATGTAGATGTAGATGTAGATGTAGATGTAGATGTAGATGTAGATGTAGATGTAGATGTAGATGTAGATGTAGATGTAGATGTAGATGTAGATGTAGATGTAGATGTAGATGTAGATGTAGATGTAGATGTAGATGTAGATGTAGATGTAGATGTAGATGTAGATGTAGATGTAGATGTAGATGTAGATGTAGATGTAGATGTAGATGTAGATGTAGATGTAGATGTAGATGTAGATGTAGATGTAGATGTAGATGTAGATGTAGATGTAGATGTAGATGTAGATGTAGATGTAGATGTAGATGTAGATGTAGATGTAGATGTAGATGTAGATGTAGATGTAGATGTAGATGTAGATGTAGATGTAGATGTAGATGTAGATGTAGATGTAGATGTAGATGTAGATGTAGATGTAGATGTAGATGTAGATGTAGATGTAGATGTAGATGTAGATGTAGATGTAGATGTAGATGTAGATGTAGATGTAGATGTAGATGTAGATGTAGATGTAGATGTAGATGTAGATGTAGATGTAGATGTAGATGTAGATGTAGATGTAGATGTAGATGTAGATGTAGATGTAGATGTAGATGTAGATGTAGATGTAGATGTAGATGTAGATGTAGATGTAGATGTAGATGTAGATGTAGATGTAGATGTAGATGTAGATGTAGATGTAGATGTAGATGTAGATGTAGATGTAGATGTAGATGTAGATGTAGATGTAGATGTAGATGTAGATGTAGATGTAGATGTAGATGTAGATGTAGATGTAGATGTAGATGTAGATGTAGATGTAGATGTAGATGTAGATGTAGATGTAGATGTAGATGTAGATGTAGATGTAGATGTAGATGTAGATGTAGATGTAGATGTAGATGTAGATGTAGATGTAGATGTAGATGTAGATGTAGATGTAGATGTAGATGTAGATGTAGATGTAGATGTAGATGTAGATGTAGATGTAGATGTAGATGTAGATGTAGATGTAGATGTAGATGTAGATGTAGATGTAGATGTAGATGTAGATGTAGATGTAGATGTAGATGTAGATGTAGATGTAGATGTAGATGTAGATGTAGATGTAGATGTAGATGTAGATGTAGATGTAGATGTAGATGTAGATGTAGATGTAGATGTAGATGTAGATGTAGATGTAGATGTAGATGTAGATGTAGATGTAGATGTAGATGTAGATGTAGATGTAGATGTAGATGTAGATGTAGATGTAGATGTAGATGTAGATGTAGATGTAGATGTAGATGTAGATGTAGATGTAGATGTAGATGTAGATGTAGATGTAGATGTAGATGTAGATGTAGATGTAGATGTAGATGTAGATGTAGATGTAGATGTAGATGTAGATGTAGATGTAGATGTAGATGTAGATGTAGATGTAGATGTAGATGTAGATGTAGATGTAGATGTAGATGTAGATGTAGATGTAGATGTAGATGTAGATGTAGATGTAGATGTAGATGTAGATGTAGATGTAGATGTAGATGTAGATGTAGATGTAGATGTAGATGTAGATGTAGATGTAGATGTAGATGTAGATGTAGATGTAGATGTAGATGTAGATGTAGATGTAGATGTAGATGTAGATGTAGATGTAGATGTAGATGTAGATGTAGATGTAGATGTAGATGTAGATGTAGATGTAGATGTAGATGTAGATGTAGATGTAGATGTAGATGTAGATGTAGATGTAGATGTAGATGTAGATGTAGATGTAGATGTAGATGTAGATGTAGATGTAGATGTAGATGTAGATGTAGATGTTAATGTAGATGTAGATGTAGATGTAGATGTAGATGTAGATGTAGATGTAGATGTAGATGTAGATGTAGATGTAGATGTAGATGTAGATGTAGATGTAGATGTAGATGTAGATGTAGATGTAGATGTAGATGTAGATGTAGATGTAGATGTAGATGTAGATGTAGATGTAGATGTAGATGTAGATGTAGATGTAGATGTAGATGTAGATGTAGATGTAGATGTAGATGTAGATGTAGATGTAGATGTAGATGTAGATGTAGATGTAGATGTAGATGTAGATGTAGATGTAGATGTAGATGTAGATGTAGATGTAGATGTAGATGTAGATGTAGATGTAGATGTAGATGTAGATGTAGATGTAGATGTAGATGTAGATGTAGATGTAGATGTAGATGTAGATGTAGATGTAGATGTAGATGTAGATGTAGATGTAGATGTAGATGTAGATGTAGATGTAGATGTAGATGTAGATGTAGATGTAGATGTAGATGTAGATGTAGATGTAGATGTAGATGTAGATGTAGATGTAGATGTAGATGTAGATGTAGATGTAGATGTAGATGTAGATGTAGATGTAGATGTAGATGTAGATGTAGATGTAGATGTAGATGTAGATGTAGATGTAGATGTAGATGTAGATGTAGATGTAGATGTAGATGTAGATGTAGATGTAGATGTAGATGTAGATGTAGATGTAGATGTAGATGTAGATGTAGATGTAGATGTAGATGTAGATGTAGATGTAGATGTAGATGTAGATGTAGATGTAGATGTAGATGTAGATGTAGATGTAGATGTAGATGTAGATGTAGATGTAGATGTAGATGTAGATGTAGATGTAGATGTAGATGTAGATGTAGATGTGGATGTGGATGTGGATGTGGATGTGGATGTGGATGTGGATGTAGATGTGGATGTAGATGTAGATGTAGATGTAGATGTAGATGTAGATGTAGATGTAGATGTAGATGTAGATGTAGATGTAGATGTAGATGTAGATGTAGATGTAGATGTAGATGTAGATGTAGATGTAGATGTAGATGTAGATGTAGATGTAGATGTAGATGTAGATGTAGATGTAGATGTAGATGTAGATGTAGATGTAGATGTAGATGTAATTTTGGTTAAAAAAAACTATAAATTCTTGGGCGAGCATATGGGATATTGGTTTGTGTTGTACAGTGCTGTTGACAGACCATTTCCGAAATGTAAACTAGGTCGTCTAGCATAATATACTGAAATGCATTCAGATACCTATGAATATGTTTGATGAAGAAAATATTGATCTTAGTAAGTACGACAGTATACAATCTAAATATATTTACCAAGGGTGATGAAGCGTTTCGGGTTTCTATTAATGGAGTTGATAACGGAACGCAGAGTGCTATAAAAAAAAAATACAAGATATTTTGTTATCAAGTTATTTAAGACGTGTATCATAAGGAAATATATTTTTATACGAAATTTAGTTTAATTTAATGTAACTATAAATATATATGACAAGGGAACAGCGTATGTCCATTTCCAATACAACTACCAATTAAATTAAAAATATTTTTAAAAGAATTTTAATATACAAAGTAAAAAACAAAACATATTTTACATAGAAAATGTATAAATTAAATAAAATGATCTAATTTAACGATAAAGCATTATAGTTCAAAATACATGAAATAAAATTTTGTATCATTTAGATGGTCATCAGTTTCGTAACGTTAAATTATATTTTATTGCATTATCACCACAAACATAACACAACATAAACTTTTAATAACAGTTGTCTAGCTCACAAAGATAGAATTAGTTCTCCATTATAACCAATCTTAACCACCAAATAGCGGAGCTACCTTTTTTCTAATGTGTGTTTTCGTTGCCCTTCAATTACAAAAAAAATCTAGTGTTGACCACCTAATGATTGTCTCATGTTTGGCAAGCATCAAAATTGTGTTTAAACCTTCATGTATAATTTTGCAAATTACAATAATATATAATTTAATATAACAAACGTATCTTTCGTTTTTAAAATAAGTCTCTATATATTTAAATATTTTGCCGTGGGATATTTTGTCGTATGTTATTTGTCTATGATAAATATTTTATTCTGAGATAATTAGAAATATATATATATATATATATATATATATATATGTATATATATATGTATATATATATATATATATATATATATATATATATATATATATATATATATATGCGTGTGTGTGTGTGTTTGAGTGTGTTTTTTTGTGTATATGAATGTGTAGATGTGTATACATTTTTGGATTGTATAGAAGCTGATTTTAAAAAGTGCTTTTCAATCATCAATCCTTTTTTTGGTGCCTGCTTTATGTGCTATCAAAATACAATTTTGTCTTATAAAACGACGTATACGATATCAGTAAAAAAATAAACACCCATTAATACTAATCTTACGTGAAACGCAGTAAACTGTTTCTTTTATCATTATCATTTTGTTTTTCATTTTACACGAGATTGATACTTATTATATAATTATATTGGCCGAATTTAAAAACAAGAAATGTTGATTTGCGTATATTAAATGACCTACCATCACACTTTGTTGGGTCTGTGCTATTTACGGCAAATCCAGGTCTACATGAACAAGTGAAGCTTCCGTCTGTGTTGGTGCAATTCTGTTGACATGGACTTGGCTGAGCACTGCATTCATCGATGTCTAGAAGTTATGTTTGTAAGCAAAATGTATCATTAATCTGAGTTAAATATGCATTTCAAAAAGTATAATTTTTCTAATGAGGAAATATAAATGTGTTAAATTCTGAGACTTACCATCACACTGTGTAGGGTCTGTGCTATTTATGACGTATCCATCATTACATGAGCAGGTGTAGCTTCCAATAGTGTTGGTACAAACTTGTTGACATGGACTTGGCTGTGCATTGCATTCATCGATGTCTGAAATGGTTGGAACAAGAGAAAGCGTAAATTTACATCAAATAATAAATACTCTACACTTGTATATGTTATACTTTATTCTATCAGCCGGTTAATCACAATTTTTAACTAGTACAACACGCAGAAAATGAACACGCCTTTAACATCTAAAATATTGAGTTTTAGTAAAGCTACAAAAAGAACTATCGCGATTATTCAGTAACACACTTTAGTGAAATACGTTTAAAAGATATTTCATTGTAACATTTTAAGTATGTATTGTGAAACTGAAGAACGATGTTAGAGATATTAAGTTTTATATAAAGCTATTTGAGACATTGATTCATTAAAGATATACATTTTTTTCCAAACCAATAAATAATTATGTTTTATTTTAATACTTATTTGTATTATGATGTGTGGAATTGGTTGATCTACTTACTTATTTAGTTTTGGATTGTTGTCACCACTATATGTTTCAAAAATAATCCTAAACAAAGCAACGAACACACGAAAATAAACGCTTTAAATTTGAAAAAGTTTTTTGTTTGTTATTAAAATCACGAAGTTTATAACCATAAGGAAGGAAAAAATATTTGAGTTTTTTAAAAAAGTGTTCATATATCTATATAAGTAAGCGACATTTTAAATCAATTAATACCATGCATAATACGACTCATGAATTAATTAACAATACATTTTAGTTGTCATTTATGTTTTTTATTATATTAACATCTTTTTGCGTGAATTTCAGCTAAACATCATTAAAAAGCAGGTCATTTTCTTATAAATAGGGACCAAATTATTTTTGTTTACAATCATGTTGATTAATTTATCGATTTTACATTATCGACACTCTTACCTAGACATTTAGCAGTATTAGCTGGGTTGACTTTATAGCCTGGGTTGCACGAACACACAATTTGTCCATTGACCACCGTTGTAATTTGCTGGCAGCGACACTTGGCTAAAACAAAGTAGCAAAAACGTTGATAATGTCTGTATAATGTCTCGATACTATGGGTTTATTTTGCTATTAAAATAATCTAGTTTCAAGCTGTTGTTTTTTTTTTAATATGTCGCTGCTTTTGGACAACCGCTTAAAATGTTTCAACAACACCTCTCTTTTTTTGAATGCATGCCGAGAGGGAAAAAAAGCGAATCCAGGTTTTATATTAAGCTATGGAGCTTAAACTTATGAATAAACTCCCTAAGAAAAGGAATATTTTATCTATAAGTGAGGCCCTAAGCTATTGAATTTTAATCATACCATCATATAGCTTCAGTAAGGTTACAAAAGCCTAATTTGTTTTCCCTTTTTAATGCATTTAAAAAAAATAATGTTTACTTTTTTTTGTATACGAAGTATCGAGAAAGTGTTGAAAACAGTTTTGCAATTTTTTCCTTATGTTTGTGTGTGTATGTATGTATGTATATTTGTGTTTGTTTGATGTCTGTCAACACGCTAACTTGAGTACCGTTACAGATAGGATGAAGAAATTTCATATTGAAGTATTATAACACATTTGTAGTTCTGTGTCAAATTTTCAGCAATTTTCGGTAACCGAAAGTGGAACTTATTCTACTTTTGGTTTTTCAAAGGCGTATAACTTGAGTACTGTTTCACATAGATAAATGAAATGTCTCTCTGAAAGTAAAAGATCTAATTTTCTGCCTTATGTTACATTTTGTGTAATTTTCGTTAAACGGAAGTAGTAATTTAGGTGTTTCCGATTTCTGAAAAAAAAACGCATTTGAATTTATAAAGTACTAGTATTCCGCACTATTATACACATATTGTTTGCCGTTCAATTGGGGCTAAATTCTTTTTTCTATGAGATTCTATTCTATTTTCAAAAAGCTTAAGTATGTAATAACTGATTTAAAATCATGTCTATATCCCGAGTTGACATCTCCTTAGTGTTATATAAGAATATTCGAGAAAGTTTAGGGGAGATCACTCCCGCTTTAGTTATTTCTTGTGAATTATGAATATTATTTTTTTTAAATGTTTTTTTAAAATAAACAATGTATGTGGGAATTATTTTCCATGTGTTAGTTATTCGTTTTAAATTAAGTTATCACAACATAAACTACGACCAAAAATATGTGCGTTACCAACCATCCGTAAGTTTGGGATGTCTAAACTTGAGTTATCAGCCCTCTTTTAGTTTGTGGTCTACGATATGGCACCAAACATGCCAGTCGTGAAACCAGTTTACCCTAGATTTCGCATTGATCAAGCGATCGTTAGTAAGTAAAATTAAATTTCCCTTTCAAACCTGACGGTCTATAGGGCAAGTGAAGTAGAGTTCATTTGTTTCTGTGAACTCGGCCTTTGAAGAGATAGCGTTGTCATCACTATGCCTAGCCGCCATTACTTTTCCTAACGTGAGTTGGTACCCATCTACTGACGCTAAAATTCTGTTTAATTATTTATTATCTCACCTTTCAGTAGTAATGTTTTAAATTAAACTTTAAGACTAGTGTGCTATCTTACATTGTCATTCAAATTCTACCACTGTGCAGAATTTCACTTCAATCGGAAAATGAGAAAAAGGTTAAAGTTTTATTCAACGTAATAAAATCCTTTAATAACAAGCCTAAAATCAATCCCAATCCAGAACTGCAAGCTGGTATAGCAATACGGTCTATTCGCGTCAATAATTGAAAAGCTAAACTGAAACAACAATAAATGTCTAACAGCTTAACATAACAGCGGGTGGTGAGTTTGAATATTAACGAGTATAGAAATACAAATGCAAACGAGACAATCGAATGGACTTTCTTGATGGTTTTTAATCAATACAGAGAAGACGTTAATACCGCGAGGCTACAACGTTGAATTGGTTACTTTTGTTTCAGTTTTATTTAATATTTTCAACTATTTTTTCAAACCGTGTAGGATCTTACTAGACCCGTGTTTCTTCAGACTTTTTTCTCCTGGGGAGGGGAGGGGGAGCACTTGAAATTTTTTTGAAGCGGGGGCGGGGGGTGGGGGGGGGGGGGGGGGCGGGCTAACATTTCAGGGTGGGGGGGGGGCGCACACTGTTAAGTATATATTTTCTATATCAATTTCATTTCGTTCGGGAGATGCCTGGAAAAGAACTCAGTACTTGACTCACCATGCGCGTATGATATGCACATAAGCAGTATGGCTGTAATGTTTACTTTTGCAATCTTCATCCTGATACAGCTTATATATTGATATAGATATATACCTGTGATTGAAAAAAATAGTAATAACAATTAAACATAATTTACATATTTTTAAATACATATATCACGGAACAAATAAAACTAATATAAACATTTATTTTATGATTTTGGTTGCGCACCAAGAATAGGTAGTGTTATATCAAACATAATTATTAAATAACTATTATCAAATGTTACCAATGTTCAAAAGAGGCCGAACAATATAAATAAAAATTAACACAATGTGTCTAATATCAGTAGTTGTTTTTCGTTTCATTTCAAATAGTAAAATCCATAATAATATATATAATCGTCAGTAGTTACACTAATGTGTTAATGTGATTTCATTTCTGCAGTATATATTGCTTAAATAATTCTTAACTAGTTGTTTCGACTATTAAGAATTTAAAAAAAACAAGGAGGACGAAAGCTGTTAATGTTTTGTATTTTCTATAGATCTACCGTTTAGCGATATTCCAACATTTTAATAGCATATTAGTGTTTTAATCAGAACTTCTCTTCACAGTTCTTCCATAAACCTCATTATCATTACGTAAATTGCTCTTATTTAGAAATATTTTGACAATACATTCGCACATTTGTAAGAAGCTGATTTAATTATTTTTTTTCTGCAGCGTTAGTCTAAACATAAAATACTATGGTTGATTAAGCTATAATGATTTGAATTTAAATACCCTTTGATGCGTAGAATCGTTTATTAATCTTTATCAAAAATTCACAACAATAACTTATTCGATTCCTCGTAGTGAATCTCAACAGCAGTTTTACTATTATTTAAATAAAAGCGTTATTAATTACAAGCGACTAAATATTAATTAAAAATCTGATTGCAAAAAAAAATTTGAGAAACGAAATTTTTAAGCCAACGTAAGTCACGTCATTGCATACGAGGGGTGTTTAGGATGTGTGGGGCGCGGAGGTTGAATATGGAAGGGATGTGTATTTTATCCTGCTGGTAAAAGATTTATACTTATTACAAATTGTTTAAATTAAGTAATGCACATAAATAGTCTGTCAGTGATCATGAAATAATGAAGATGCAGTTACATCTTTAAAATTTACTGAAGATATAAACCGCGTACTACGTTTGTGTTTGAATCGATAGACTAAAACGATATAAACTAGCTGAGCTTTCGATCAATCATTCATGAAATGTTTAGCGAGTTTTATTTTTTGTTAACGTATAGTTTGTTTCAATGATGTAAATACTTGCTTGAATCTTGACTGAAAACATTATATAAAACCAAAGTTTTATTCAAACAAGAAATATCTCCCAATGACGCAGTCAGAATCTATAACTCGTAAGATATCTACTGGTCTGCCACGATATTTAATTTTTATTTTGTTCAAAGCTACCTCATTATACAACGAAGTATCAATTAAATAAAATAAAATACATTTACTGATTGTCGTTAACATTGCAAATACTTATCTGCTTAATATTTAAATTAAGACTGATTGTCATAATTTAAAATACATTTTTAAACCGATGCAGTATTGTAAAAAGTCTGATAAAAGTTGTTATTAATATATTAACATAAGCCACTCTAGACAAGTAAATGAAACGATTAATATTACATCTAATGTCGGCAATATAATCACTCTAATTCGTCCAAACTTACAATTTAAAAAAAGCATCAACTAATGACGGCGCTTCAAGATTTAAAAAAAATATGATTCTCAAAATAACTTGTTTCTTTAATAAATATCTTTAAGATTTCTATTTTTGTTTGCTACCTCTAGGGTAGTTTTCTAAACTTTGATTATATCATTCAATTTCTTGGAAAGTTACAATCATGTTTAAAAATGATCAGAACCTTAAATTTAAGAATATAATTCTAAAGTTTTATCATTATAAAAATAAACATTAGAAAGACGTCGCTTAAAACTTACCAGAGTGGAAGCTTTTTGTTTCAAACTGTCAGTCACAACAAAAAGTGGTGTATGTTCACTGATGTAAACAGTATATATTGACTAGTTAGCCAATCAAAATACGTGTTGGAAATATTATTGCTAGTAATGAAAATCCAAAGGCGAAGCCTCATACTGAAACAATTGAGAGACCATCATGTATTTGTTTTCAATGAGAAAAAGATATTTAGTCTGCTGTTTCGAAAAATAAAATTGCACAAGCAAGTTCTATTTTTAAAAAATCATTACTAGTTTGGGGTCAAATATTAAAAGAAGAACGTTATAGTAATATTCAGTCTTGAGTTCAAATCCGGTTTCAAGTAAGTAGAATATTACTTTCTTGGGTACCTACCTCAAGTTAGGTAAAGAAGAAGAGTGATAGTGCTGAGCACACCATCTTTTCATATGACGAGATCATGGAAACACGTAAACTCTACTTCACTTGCTCCATGGACCGTCACGTTAAAAAAGGGAACTTTTAAAAAAAAAACTACACCGAAAAGAAGAAAATAATGCAAATTTGCTTTCTTTGATTCCATAATCGATTGCTCTGTAAGAGATCTGATAAGCGACACATGCTTTTATTAAAGAAATAAACTATTAATTATTGTATTTCCAGTGCACTTAAAAGCTTATTATTACAACTTTAAAAAAATAAACCTCTTCTTTTTGATAATTCGTTACTAATTAATGCATCCCAGAGAACAAGACTAAAAATATTTCCTTTAAAATCAGATCAATATTTTGCGATCTGTAAAAGACACGTATCTGTTATTTTTAGTATTTTGTACCAGAAAAAAAGCAACCAATCGTACCCAAAAAGTTTACCTATGGTAGCTAACCAAGTATCTATTCGTGTTAGCTTCACTTTTATTATTGAAAAAAAGTAGCCAAATCAATTAGATTTTAAAATATATTTTCTTGCATTGCCGTTGCAAAGTTGGAATACCTTCGCTGTATTATAAGTTAGTTGTCCTATTCTTATTTTAGGTGCATTGAAAAGCTTGCTATTATAAAGTTTTTTTTTTAAATATTTGTTTTATTCGTCAAAGGCTACTTATAAAATTCTTGCGTTAAAACTAAAACCCGAACAATAGCTATAAAAGACAGCTGCCCTTAGTTAGTGGACGACGCTCAGGCAACCAACGTGAACCACAGCTCAGCCGACTGACAGGGCGTTCGCGTCAAACTAGTTATCTCCCCTTTTATTATTGAATATATTAATTTTTATATGAATATTCTGATGTCCAATTAGATAACGAAAATGTTTTTTGTGTGTTTCTTTAAGGGCGAACGTATCTGAAAAATTTGAAATAGATCGCTGCAAAATAAAGTTACAAGATTAGCCACAAACCCAAGAAGCAACAGACGTTGTGAAGTAAAAGCTTGTAAAAAGCTTATAGTTATAAAAAATAAATATGCAAGAGTGAATAAATTACGTGAATCCCATCATGTGTTAAAATATACACGCCCATGTGAGAAAGTAAAGATTCAGCACACAACAAGTGCAAGCCACTCCCTTTACTCTACTTATTCTAGCGTGACTTTTGTCATCAAACGTCGATATTGACCGGTTCAATCATGTCTACACATCTAGACTGAAAGTGCTAATGTTCTTTCAATAGCTACACATTGAACATTGGCGTCACCATGAAGAGTTTCACACTTCTGCCCACACACACCCGCATATATGTATATATATATATATATATATATATATATATATATATATATATATATATATATATATATATATATATATATATATATTTATTTATTTATTTATTTATTTATTTATTTATTTATTTATTTATTTATTTATTTATTTATATATGTATATAAAGTGCTCTTTATTTAAATTAACGATTTAAAAATCTAATATTGAAGGTGTTTAAAAACAAATTGTATTTTCAAAACTTATAGTGTTAATTGACGGCATGTACATTAAATAAAATTAAAGAAAATGTATCACAAAAATTCTAATTTTGTCTGAAAATTATTTTCATTTAATCCATTAGCACTAATTACTTCCCTTATTATTTTCTTTGTTTTCGTTTTGGTTGGTTGTGGTTAGGGTTAATTCGAAAAAATATATATCTCCTAGCCCGGGCAATGCCAGGTATATGCAATTACTATACACCAAGTAATGGTCCTTTTCAGATAGGTTGCATAGAGGCAAGTGCAGGGCCTGGCCGGAACGGCTAGATAATTTATAAAGTTCAAATCAGAGTTTCTTCTATGTATCTCTTCGGGGGGGGGGGGGGGCACAACGAACTAAATTGAATTTATATAGAAACCATATATTTATACCTGTGTCTGCCACCCCCCTGGAAAGGAAAGTGTTGTCCGCCCCAGCCCCCCACCCGAAATATCGCATATATATATATATATATATATATATATATATATATATATATATATATATATATATACACATATATATATATGTATGTACGATTATATCTATCAGAGTAAAGTTTCTTTATTTCACCGTTTGTTAAATTTGAAACGTGCAAGAATAAAAAATATTAATCTCTGATAGAGATGAGATAGTTTGTTTGTGATCAAATTTGACAAATCTCCTACCTAGTTAGCATATATATTTTTGCTAATTATTCTTGCTTCTTAAATGTATGATTGACACACCTATACAAAACTTGAAGCGTACATTAAGAGATGAAATTAGTGGCAACGCCACTGTCCCTCTCCTACGATTTGTATCCATGTGTAGGATTTCCCAAAGATAGCGTGAACACAAATCGAATCCTATGATTTACGTTTGATAAAACAGAAGTCTGTAGGCGTATGTTGAACAATAATCTTAATTTAATAACTTTTATATTGCTAACTAGACGATAAAAATCTCTTTGTAAGCAGCATTTTAATAATAAAATGTTGTAGCAATAAATTTGTAAGTCAAACACCGTAACGTATAATCCCATTGATGTCAAAGAAGTCAAAGACGATGTTGTTGTTGTGTATGTTGAGGACGTGTGGGCGATAGCGTGGGTCACAGAACACGTGCGGGATACTTGAGAAACTCGAAGGTTCCTGTATAATATACAGGTACCCTTGCGTTTTAAAATACACGAAAGTGATAATATACATTTTAGTTGTATGTGTATATACATTCTAAAAAACAACTATGTAATAATAATACACGTCTCTCTATCTTTTACAGGCGAAATGGCTCAAATAATGCTTAAAATACAACCTGACGGAAACAGGATCAAAGAATTGAGCCATACTTACAGGCAGTAGATCCGTTGATTACCGTCAGAAACTTGTGTAAACAAATAAAAACAACAGCTGTGACCGCCTTTGATATATTTTTAAAATTAGAATTTCTTGTTGTTCTGCTTCCTTCAGTCGTTACTAGAGACTCCAGCTGAGAAATTTTTCAATGGTACTGGATCCAGTCTTAATGATTGTGTGACAACATTAATTGACGTTCCCCAAAAAGCAGTATTTGTTCTACTGACTTTTACACATATTATCGTTATTAAGTTAAAAATTTACGGTTCCTATATTCTTGTTTACTAGCACTTTTACTGTTACGCCATTTACTCCGCAACTAGACATAAGGCTTTCCTTAAGGGAATGCCTGACTTTTGAATGAAATATAGTTCCCTAAATAAAATTTGATCGGGAGCCTATTCGCGGATGAACATTTGCCGGAATGCGGTTGTGCATGTATGGACGTTTCGCCGAATGCCACAAAAACGAATTTACATTTTCACAGGTATAGAAATCCAACTAGCTACTGACAACAGCTGAACTAGTTGAGAACTGAAAGCTTTAATGAGTAGGAGGGTGAAGCAATACAGCTAGCTGGAGACGACAGCCACACTAGCTTGAAACTTAAACATTTATTATGGGTAGGTAGAAGCAATAAGCTAGCTGGGGACGACAGCCAAACTAGCAAGGAACTCAAAATTTATAATGGGTATGTAGAAGCAATACAGCAAAACTAGCTGGGAACAGAAACCTTTATACAGCTAACTGTGGATAATAACCCTTCGAGCTACTTGCAATCACCCAACTGCGTTGGGACAGCATTCATTTATTCTCATTTTTCTCAACTCCCTTTCTATTTCGTAACACGCTTACAAACACTCATAGCTGTGTAACCGCTGTGTCTGAGTTGTAAGGTTTACCGAGCAAAATCAATGAGAATTTGTGTCATAACTTAGGTGTATTTATCGACTTGTCATGTGGTTTGCTGAAAACATCTGTACTTTTAAACGAGCAGTAGAGACAGACTGGTCGGATGTCAGAGCTAGTGGTAGCTATCTTAAGTCCCGAGTTCGGATACCGGGGCAGAAATCCAACAACAGCGCTCTTGTAAATTATTCTTGCGTAGAAAACGGCTATGGAGTCAACAGGTCATACGACGCATGACATGTTGACACTTAATACTTAAATGTGTTGGATTGGATGAAATACCATACAATATTACAATACAGAACGAAGAAGAAAAATGTGAGAGGGCTAATATATTCTAGTATGTTTGTAGCCTACCCACAAAATGTTACACCACGGCGTGGCCTAGCGGTAGAGCGCTAGTCTCAAGAGCCTCGTATCTGCCCCCAGCTGGTCTGGGTCAATTTCTTTAAGATATTTAACCTCCTGGATCTTTTATTACATAGATTCTTAATGTCAGGGTCAACTTCTGGTCCAGTTGTTTGCCTAGGTATACTGGTTTCTTGTCCCATTTTAGCCTACTTCCTTCAGGATTTCACGACCAGTAGTAAAAAGGGAATATACTGTCATCTCCGTGTTGTTTTCCAAGTTCCACTCGCAGAAGCTTGCAATACGATCCAGGTTGCCCTGGAGACTAGCTCTCTGCTGGGCGGCGGTCCGGGTGCAGTGCACCCAGGTCGAAAGGTCGTTAATAAAGACCAGGATGAGTGTACAACTCAGGGCTGACCCATGCGGCAAACCTCTGAGCAGCTTGGCACCACCAGAGCGGTCCTCGCCGACTCTGGTCCTTATCTCTCTCTCGACCAGGAAGTCCTTAAGCCACAGGTACAGTTTCCCGTTGACACCGATTTACCTTGAGCACTAACTGGAAATGATTATCATGTTTTGAAATAATAAACTATGCTTGAAGGCGTTTCAAGTATTTACAACGAGCATCTAGCATCTATTAATTTAATGAATTGATAATATATGTATAATGCAGCCGTTTCTCTAGATATGATCTTAATTATCCATGTTTTTTCTCCTTGAAACCTGCTAATCCAGCCTCTCTTATATCAAATTTCGCTCGTACGTCAAAGGAAATTTTAGCTCAGTCGACTGAGCACTCGTATGTCGAGGTACCACTGCATTTACAATGTGCATCTAACATCTCTTAATACAATTTAACGATATTATTCAAATAATATTGTTAAATAGGTAGTAAAGTAGTATTTTTGTAATACTTCATTAGTGGAGATTCTGGTAATTGTTACCCACTGAGGTTTAGTGTGCATAGTGGATGATCTTTCATAAGCAGACTTTCTTCCATGCATCTCCGAAGAAAGTCTACCGTATATAAAATAACATGTACTTTTATCAAAGTCCACCCCGCCCCCCCCCCCCCATGAAAATGTTGGCCGCCACCCCCACCCCCTGCCGGTAAATGTCGAAAATATCAAGTCCCTCTTCCCCCGGAGAAAAAAGTGTGGAAGAAAAACACAGTTCATAAGGGTATAGGCCTACTGGATGTTGCTCGCCAAAATCCAAATGTTATTCGCTGACTGAATACCCGCGTGGTTTTCATTGCTCATCAATCCTGGTACCCTGAATTAGTTCTTGTTTACACAAAACCTGTCGTATAAAAAAAAAATATTCAAAAATATTCAGATATTAATTACGGTCTTAGGGACCGTAACCCAGCCTGATCACCAATCATAGATTTTCTTTCGGTTACGTCCCTTTAATATTGATACCATCAACACTTAAATAGTATGTCGTGTTTTAGTTTTAGCCTTGACCGGGTCAATGTTGAACACTTACCCCAGGTCACCACCTCTCTCCTTATTGTATACCAATATTTATATGTGTGATTTCGTCTTCAAGCTCAGCCTACGTGATTGTACATCCTAATCGTTAGTTTGTATGGCCGTTTTAATGTGTACGAGCTGACCTTCGACGTATTAGTATACGCCGCCATCTAGTTGTTTTATTTTCTGCTTATCAGCTATTCATAATTTGTGAATTCAACACTCGCCCAGTGAAAGAAGCCGTTTACAGACGAAGAAAAGATCAATCAGAAATTGTAACCTCTCCTTCGTTTAAAATCGTTTAATACTAAATTTTCTGCCCCTAATAGCCGTCTCTAACCCGGCTCTACGATTAAACATTCGGGGTGAACAACAGCTCACCTGACAGAAAGGGATGAGGGTGGTAGCTAAGCTGCGTGGTGTTTTCTATGGTCTCCATGACGAGAATTATATATATATATATATATATATATATATATATATATATATATATATATATATATATATATATATATATATATATATATATATATATATATACATATATATATATATATATATATATATATATATATATATATATATATATATATATAGATTGAACGGTTGGTTTGTCTGCGCTATGCTGATTCATAAAGGGATAAGTAAAAATGGAAAACAAATAAAACTATTGTATTACACGTAGACCTCTGAGGCATTGGCTTTTGTAATTTCGAATTATTTAATCATATCGCGATATCATATAATTTTAAAACTTTCCGTTTATTATGAAGGTGTTGAAAACGCTTAGATCAATTTATTTCCAGCCATTATAGGGTCAAACTAAACTAAGATAACAGTTAAATAATCTCAATCTCATAAAGCCAATTTCTTCGACTGAG